TATATATATAACCATATATATATACAACCATATATATATATATATATATATATATATATATATATATATATATATATATATATATATGTATGTATATTATCCTTCACCCGTCTTGATGCTTTTCTAGCCGCGAACGTATAAGGGGGGGGGCGTTGGACCCCCTTGCCATTTTGCCCCTGATCGAGCTAGATAGAGCTTCGCAGAAAAAAACGAGCGTGCTGCCCGTGACGAGGGGAAGCCGATGATACCCAATTTTTAAGGTCCAAGGTCATTATTGGTTGACCTTCCAGGTCAGGTCAATCACCCAAAAGTCGGGAAAATCGGGACCGTTAGAACGTCGTAAAGGGTAGCTGCTGTTTTTTCGGGGTGCTGATCAAGAATATCATGTTAGTTTCGATCATAGATGATGTCTTCATGCATTTAGGCCAGGTCGGGTCAGGTCAACCAGCTGAGGTCCTGCCGAGTATTTGTAGTAGATGTCAACCGCCTCTGACAGCTTCGTAACATGTTACGAAGGCACCAAAACTACTTCATAAATGTTCATAGGTATGGTTCCTAAATTCGAATTGAGCTCCAAAAGCTAGCCTAGAAACATGTAAAACTCGACAAAGTGAACCGAGGTCAACAAAGGTCAATGACCTGACCTGACCTTCAGGTGACCTTGATACCCACCCTTATGCATGGAACCAGCATCACATAACATGTTTGAACGCTTGAAACCACGAAAAGACCGCAAACGCGCTGTTAATGCGAGACGGCATACGCCGATTCGCGATTCCGGCCAAACATGGTCTCAAAAAATAGGTCACAGGTTAAAGGTCGTTTGGGTCAGGGTCATGAAATTTTCAGGGTAGGTATAAAATTGATTATCCCGCACCGTAGACAGTGTTTCCAATTGCTTCACGTGCAAAGAGAGAAAATTATCAGATGTCGTGTAACTGATTTGTTAAACGTCTATGTAGACGATTAAAAAACTGTTAAATGTCTAGTAGACATTTCTTCTAGTCTGAAATATGTCGCATTTTTTATATATAATGTGTTTTTTGCCTCTGCTCTCGAAAGAGATCGGCGGTATGGGATAAATTTATTAAACCGCTCGTAGGTAGAAAAATATTTTAAACGTCTCATATATAAATTATAGCGCGTAAAATGCCTTGTTAATGGAAACGCAATGCTATCCTGTGCCCAGGTTGCATTTGATAATTGGCGTACCTACTTTCAAGCGTTGAAGGAAAATGATCGAAAATGCAGCTTCGAGTGCCTAAAATAGCACATGTGTTAAACGGCCGCTTGGCGCTCAACAGTGAACAGTATGCTAGTTATGTAAGAATAACATTTAACATTCAACAACAAGGCATATAATGTATATTAAACCGCGAGGAGGTAGAACAAATCTTTTAAACGTCGAGCCGATAGGCGAGACGTTTAAAATATTTTTCTACCTACGAGGGGTTTAATGATTTTATCCCGTGCCGCCGGTATCTTTCGGGCGTTTATAGGTAAAAAATGCATTTTATGTAAAAAAAAACGACATATTTCAGACTAGACGAAATGTCTACTAAACGTTTAAAGGGACTATCCCACCTTCTAAAATGTTGTTAAAACCAATTAAATTGTGCCCAACTTTATAGATTGGATGACCAGGAACACGGTTCTGGCATTTATTTTTCATTAAACATCTTAGGCTTCCCATATTCCAAACACAAACTTTCAAATATGTGACGTCACAGCCCAAAATTACCTCCTTCCCCAGGCCACATCACTGTCATAAAGCTGATTCTTTTTACTCTGTAGGCACCACAACAAAGTTCAGACCAAGTTTTAAGCGATTTTTCAACGAACAAACCCATTTAAATCAGAATGACTAAACGAGGTGACGTCACACTAACGGTCGCTCCATGTTGAAGATAGGGCCTTGCACAAGGCCCATTTTCAAATGAAGGGAACGAATTTCTTCAACACCAAGAGGCCGCGGGGGTTGCAACCTAGATAGATAGTGGTTTCTGAACCTCGCCGCAAACTTGGCTATCTCAACTCAAACCCCATGTTAAAGGTGGGATAGTCCCTTTAACAGTTTTTTAAACGTCTAGACGTTTAACAAATCAGTTGAACGACACCTGATAATTTCCTTTCTTTGCACGTAAAGCAATTGTAAACACTGACTACGGTGCGGGATAACAATTCATACACCAACCTACTGTAGGTAGGTAAATCAATTTATATAATTGTACGTAAAAAATAATGTCTCGTCTTTTGACTTGCATATTATGATTTATACAATGTATATACCTATATTCTCGACATTTTACCAGCGGTGTCGAAAACGGTGACGTAACTTCATTTTACATGGCATTAAAGGGTAGAAAATGTTATTTATTTAAAGTAAAAATGAACATATATGCAATTGTACAATGGTATTGTGCATTGGGTGATGTATCTATAACTGCTCTTGTAACTGATTTTGTACGCTTCCGAGCCCCGATTTCTTGAAGATATGTATATTATTACATCGAGCGATCATTTTCAAACACACAGAAAATGAAAGATAATTGAATAGCAGCAAAGCAATCAGAATGACTAATCTTGCATCGGCAAGCTGCAAGTCGACTGCTGTTCACTATAACTACAATAATCTCCTATCGCATGTGTCTCCACCCCTCAGAGGCACAGTTGTTTCTTACCTGTTTCGCGCTCAGTGTGTGGCCTTCACCTACTGTCTGCATCGCTCGGCCGAGTCAAATTTTCCGGCTAGGGGCTTTGTGGTGGAGGGTTCCAGCAATAATCGCACCTGCCGCCAAGGTGCACCAGATTATTGTAACTTGACGCCATCTACGAACATGGATTAGACAGCACAAATCGTGTGATAAGGCAAGGGCAGAACATTTGAAGAGCAGATATTAAAACGGCCAACAAGCCGCCAGCCTTGAAAGAGCTATGACCCATTTTTTTCGCATCCATCGCAAGCGATGGATCACGACGAAGCTTTCGGTACTCTCGCATATCTGATTTTGCACCTCCTCTGAATATTTAATGACCCGGACCCAAATGACGTTTGAGCTGTGACCTCTTTATCGATAATATATCAGGCCAGAATGACGATTTGGAGTGCGTTAGCGCACATTATCCTGCATGCGTTTCCACCTTCCAGACTGTTTATGACAAGAAACGTGACTGGTAACATGTGAAATATAAATGTTAGTTCCATGGATAACAGCGGGTGTAAAGGTCACCTGAAAGTCAAATCATGCTCATTGACCTTAGCTAACCTCGGCTGACTTTTAGTTTTACAGCTTTTTAGGGTAGTTTTCTAGCTGATTTTAAAGCTGGCAAAGCTAACACTCACTTGAAGAAAACATAGAATTATTAAGTTTTGGTGCAGTGGTGCAGTTTTGGTGCATTGGAGAATCCAGGGATGGCGGAGGCATTTGGGGCGAATATCCCCCCCCGGCCCCCCCCCCCATAGCGCCCGAAATCGACGAAAATTTGCGGCTTTCCGAGGATAAAACTAAAAGTAAACGACTTTTATGAGGAAAAGATTGTTTTAAATGGCTGCAGCAGTGCGTAGGGGAACGAAATCCGATGAGTTTTTTTTTAAAGAAACTTTTTCGGGGTGTGTCCCCCTCGGCAGCGTCCGACTTCCGAGACCGCCTTTCTGAATCCGCCCTAGTGTGGTGGTAAACATCTACTATGGTATATTGATAGTCCGAGGGATCTGACCCGATCGCCTGACCTAACCGACCAAGGAGTACCTACGTGATTGTGATTAGCATCCGTCATATTTCTGTATTTCTGGTTTAGTAATGTACTCATGGTATGCAATACATATGCTTTTTCTCGCCGTCCAAACGACGTGGGTAATGAAGTTTTCCAGATCCTGACCGTAATTCGGCTCATTATTAAATTATCAAAATGATTAGACAATGCATATGAATAGAATGATAGGCAAAATGAAACAAAATGATTAGTACCTAAATCAGGGATGCGGAGCCGTGGAAATTTCAGACGGCTCCGACTCCGGCTCCGGCTCCGGAGAAAAAAATCGGCTCCGGCTCCGGCTCCGGCTCCGGGTGAAAGGTCATGGAGGTTCCGGCTCCGGCTCCGGCTCCGAGTAAAATGATCCGTCTCCGGCGGCTCCGGCTCCGGCGGCTCCGGCTCCGGCTTCTACTAAGTACATCCCCTATGCGATCAATTAAATACGGGTGGAAGGAAAAAGGCGATGGGATTGGTGCACGTTGCTACTGTATTTGTATAACAAGGCTATTTTGAATACCACATTGTTTTACGCCTTGTAGGTGGTGGCAGCATTGCTTTGAATGCGAGGCGAGGTGTAACCGTGTATGCGAACACTGAAGGTAGAGAACACTGACCAGGACCTCGACGGTCCCTACTGTCAACCGAACTAGGTAAATAATTGTTTCCTCTAAAGAAAAGGAGCCGGAGTCGCCCCCTTTTTGACGGCTCCGGCTCCGGTTCCGGCTCCGGGCTACATTGTTTCACGGCTCCGGCTCCGGCTCCGGCTCCGGGCAAAATATGCCGGCTCCGGCGGCTCCGGCTCCAGCTCCGGCTCCGGCTCCGCATCCCTGACCTAAATTATTCATTACGATTTGCAGTGAAAGTGTCTTCTAGAACTATGTAGAGTCATTATCGTAAATTAGCTTTGGAATTCGGGGGGGGGGGGTAATCAGTACTTCAACTTTCAGCCCTTGATTTTCCACTTCTGTCCGTCTTTCGACTAACCGTCTACCGATGTACCGTCTACCGTCTACCGATGTATGTATAGGTAGGTATGCATGCACGTTGCACATTGCGCATTGTACCAAATGCATGACATTTATGTAGTGCAGCGCCGCTATATCCCGATGCATTGAATCGTAAACTCGGTGAACGACAATAAACCAAAGAGCACAAGCTCAGCCCCGCATTCAGCATCCCTCCCACCGCCGTCACCTTCCGTGAGGGCGCCGGGTCCGCCGGGTCGGCGGCGCGCCGATGACGTCACCGGTCGGCGGGCGGCGGCGCGCGGGCGGCGTTCGGGGCGCGGCGCCGGCGACGGCCAGTCGTCGGCGGGACGGCAGCGCGTGGAGGGGTGAGGTGCGGTGCTGCCGACCGACGATCGACTCGACTGACGCCACTGCAGGACACACCGCGCGCCTCACGATGGCCGCCGTCTCCGAGTTCTACCGCGACAAGGCGGTGCTGATCACGGGCGCCACCGGCTTCATGGGCAAGGTGCTGGTGGAGAAGCTGCTGCGCTCCTGTCCGCAGGTGGCCACCCTGTACGTGCTGCTGCGGCCCAAGGGACAGCACAGCGTGGCCGAGAGGCGCCAACAGCTCCTCAGCGCGCAGGTAGGGCTCGCCACGTGCAGAGGCACTTTCTAATCACCAAAGAAGTGGGCAGGGGTGGGCTTTTTGTGCGGGTCCGCGGGGCCGGAGGAATCACACCCCTGTGTGCGCGCACGGCCGCCCGTCGGCTCCGACGGCGGCCGCCCGTCGGAGTCGGCGGGGAGGCGGCACGGCGGTCTGTCGGGCTGGCCGGGTTATCGTCGGCCGGCCCGACCGCCCCGCGGCGCCCCGCCCCGCCGGCCGACGGACAGCTTCGGAGAACCCGAAATGGCCCGCAGACGTTATGTTCAAATACACATATTTAATACCAATTTTCAGAAGAAGTTATTTTTTCAATTAATTGTTTTATTGCACACGGGGATTTGATCTTTCGAATGATTCTTTCATTATTTTGCAATCGCACTTAGTCGTCAACGAATGAACGTTCGCTAGGACATCACGCCTTGTCGTCTTCAAACGGCTCTTTTCTCCGTACCGACGTCCCCACCCTCTGCAGAGCTGTCTCGTCAGTCTGCTGCAGGGCTCCGCATCCGACCGCTCCCCGCTCCTCGTGTGGGGACGCCGGCAGTCGGCGCGCCACGCTCGCACGATCAGCTGGCAGCCAATGGCAGACGGTTCGACAGCCAATGGCAGACGGTCTGAATGGCAGACGGTCCGACAGCCCTACCGCCGTCCCTGATACCGGCACCGGCGCCGCGCTGTTGACACAGACTGTGGTCCGCAGCTGTGAGCAGCGCCGTGGTGTTAGTAACAATTGTGGCAGGCACTGATTGCTCTTCTTAAACTGTACCGATAATAAATTATAGCTGAAAGCTTGACCATGAAAGGAAGATCAGGCCAGGGTGTCGGCTGGCTTTCCCATTAAAAAGTCTCTGATTCACGTATCAGCACTCCGATAGCGAAAAGCCTGATTCACTTGCCCGCACCTCGATAAATTCAGCGTATCCGGTCTCACCTGATTTTTGAAATTTATGTTCCCTCGTGGGTGCTTTATCGCTCCGACACCAGCTCTATCCCCCCATACATTATCGTCGCCTCTCGCTCCCCTCCGCCGGTGGGTCTGTTGCTAGCCGGGCCAGTCGGGAAGGACACGGCGATGCCTCCCGGTCCCCACGCCACCCGTCCACCCGCTGAGTCAGACGCCAGCCGGCCAGCCGTATGTACAGTTTTTACCGGGCCGGCCCGGCGCGGCGCGGCGCGGTTAGTGGGATAGGCCGGGCCGCAGCGGCCGCTCCGCCGACCGGCCTCCGGGCCAGACAGCGCCGCCCGATGGCAGAATGACAGGTCATTAGGCGAGTGGCAGGGCTGGCCGAGGTAGATCTGAGTGTTGGATCTGCGAGCATGCCGCAGAGCTGTCAGATTTGACCCGTATTAGAACATGTCATTATGTATGTTATATCATAGGTTAATGTCACAGGGGCTGTCCCCGTTTCAATTTTCCTCAGACATGGCCCAAATCCTGCACTATCTTTGCCGCTCCCATCGGGACCATTTCACAGCTGATCGCCTCCCCCTCCCCCCCCCGCCTGGCTCGTCAGCCCCCCCCCCCCCCCGCCGGCCGCGCCGACTCTCAGCTGGTGCACCCCCCCCCCCCCCGCCCCGTTGCACCCCGTCCCCGTTCGGTAGCGGCGCTTGCCGACCGTGACCGACAGACCAGTGACGTCACGGCAACCCTGTGGGTCAGCTCCGACAGCTGCAGGCCCGGCAGACCTGTAAAACTAAATGGCACCTTGCGTAACGCTGACCCTGCCCTCCTAACGGGGAACCTGAAATCGCTCGGGCCGTGTTTCCCCTCTGTTGTAATATGTCGGTGCATATGCTCGGCAGTTATATAAAAGGTGCGCGACTAATGGTCGTAGTTATCTGTCACAAGGTTAAACTCTTTTATTTGGTGTGACATTACAGAAAGATGAACACGTTTTGGTTCCTTGACCTTAGGTATACCGAGCTGCGCTGCAGTGCACAATGCGCCATTTTGCCAGGACGCTTGGGATGTTGATCGGCCGCCGCGGGAAACCTGCGCAAGGCCATGTATTTGGAATAGGCATTAGACGTATGTATGTACATATGTACTTACCTACCTACTAAACGTAGTAAATGTAAGTACTAAGTATAGGTAAATGTAAATGTAGTAAATGTATTCAACTCGTGCAAAGATGATAAATTGGCAACGACAGATTATTTTGCTGTTGTCTTCGCATGAGTGCATTTCAATTTCACATCTTTCATGATGCATGATGCATGGTCTATCACTATTCAGTAGGTGGGCTCGAGATGTTTGTTGACTTTTTATGTGATCTTCTAACTTGCCTATATTTTCGTGACTTAGAAACTCTGAGCTCCATTGGAGAAATGCGTGCTCAAACCTAAATGGTCGGGATTCATTTTTACCATTTTATCCCATTAACCATTTTTTCTTTCATTCCCTCCTCCCATGGTCATTCGCAGAATTATACCCCGGTATTGAGAAGTAATTGTTCCCATGAAGCGTCCCCAGGCCGTCAGAATTACCGTTCTTGTCGAGGAGGGCTGAGGGTAACCAATCAGACGTCTCATGTCCCCCGCTTGCGGCATATATCGGATCTGTTGAAACGGCGTCCCCCGACGCAGGTCTGCGTTTGGCGTTTCACAACCCCCACCTGAAAGCCGCCCCGACGCAGGCCTATCGCGGCATGCCGATCGGAGGACACCTTCCTTCAAGGTCGAGTTGCGACAGCGCAGAATAATTTGCTGCTCGCGGCTTGTTTTACTTCTGTTACTGGAGCCGAAGGCTTTGACTTCATGTTCTCATGAGTTTTTTTTCGTGCGCTCTTCGCAGGGGATCGATCGCCCTTGCCGTGCAAATATATAAAAATATTGAGCCAGTGCAGTCACTCAAGCATTGGGAAAGGACTCACAAAAGCATCTACCATAGTGGAACATTTTGTTCACATGTCGCCGCGTTTCTATGCACATTTTCTTCTTCACGGTAGTCGTACTGTTTCCCAAAGCGGTCTCGTACCGCGCTGAATCATCGTTGCCACGCTCGTGATTCGTCTGGCGGCCTCACCTCCTGTCCAGCGTCGCCCACCGCGACTGTCGCCGATGGTTCCAGGACCGCGGTGTCACAACAGCGGGCCCATGCAGAGTCGCCGGTGACCATGACTTACTGACTGCAGCGGCCGTCTGATGGCACCGGTGACCACACAGGACACGTGTGACCCCGCCAGTACCCGCCGCCGCTGATCAGAATATTCCACCGGCCAGCCGAGGAGCACCGCTGCAAGCCGGCGTCCCCCGGCGCGCGGCCGGCGCCGCCCGTGCGCCGCGCCGCCGCGTGGCTGAGTTTTTATCGCTGACCTTTGGTTTGGAAACGCGCCACCCTGGCGAGCGTGGCCAGCTGTCGGCCATGCGTCGGCTGTGTACACGGCGCATTGTTTGCCGGGTCTGGTGTATTGGCCCATGCAGAATGTAGCGGCCGGGGTCGCCATGGAAGTTGGCTAGCCAATGAGGCCTCTCGAGCCCGAGCGGCCGGCAACAGCGGCTGGTTCGGTGGTGCCGGTCTGCTGCGGGTCGCTGGGATGAGCCGTCGGAGCGGTTAGTGGTGTGATTCCTGAGACGGACGGCCTGTCCGTCAGCTTTTTCATCCGCGGTGAATTCAAACAGGCTGACCGATGGAGATGTCGCGATGGAACTTCGATATACCGCAGCTCTGTTATTCCCCTCGGGATGGAATAACAACCACTTTGGGATCGAAGAAGGGAGGGAAGAGAGCTAGGCTGTGGCGTGGATGCATACGGCAGTCACGAGTGCTGAGCAAGTGAGCCACGCTTCGACCGAGTATTCCTCCTCCTCATAGCTCGGCCTGAGGAGCCCTGAGGACCGAATATTCCTCCTGTGAGCTCGAGTGTCGAGCACAGGTGCAGGGCGATGGCTCCCAGCACTGAGCCACTGCTGCTGCGCCTATTGCGTCTTACGCACGGCGCCACCGGACCGTCGGGACACACCGCAGAGTGGCGGTCACCGAGTTTTTCAGCCGAGAAAGGTCGGCAGCTATTTGCGCCCCGGAACAGGAAAGGTTGCTGCGACTCGTGGACCCGTTGCGTCTCTGTCACTGTGTCGAAGGCGGTGTGATGTTCCCACTAACGGACTGCTCGGTCGTTGGAACCTTGCGAGACGCTGTCGGCGGAAGTGTGCTCGTGGTGGTTCGGTGGGTGTGATCGGCGCCGAAGTCCACTGGCCGGTCGGGCCGGTCCGATTGGGTGGCGGGTTCGGTTGGCGGGGTGGTGACCTTGGTCCGCCTGACCCGACCCGCGGCTGAGCGGCGCCAGCCTGTTGACAAACACCCACCGCACGAACGGCTGGCAACGCCAGACCAGCGCATGGGTCATGAGATGCTGCCCAGGCCCCTTTGGTCCAATCATTCAAAGTCGCTTTTATACGGGCCTGCTATCACAGGCTCAAAACATTGTCACGCCTTACAATAAATTTCCCTTCTAAGTTACGAAATATTACCTATCGATCGGTATTCCACCACAGCTAAGCCCAGCGCGCGGCAAACATCACGACATTTACGCATTATAAGCGGCCTGCTCACCACACCGCTCGTTCACCGCACGCACAAATACCTACACGGGGGTGAGTGACCGGTGCGGCCGCCAGTCAATGGAGCGGACGGGACGAGTCCTTGACCTGCGGCTATCCAGACACAACGCCAGTAGTGTCGTCGGCCGTCGTAGTGTCTCGGTTCAGTTTTCTCACTCTGACAGGCTGGCCGCAGATGTCGGTTGGTCGTCCCGGTAGAATCGAAGTCGGAATTTGATGCCAGGTCAACGGCGGGTGACCGGTGACGACACCTTCACCATACATAACCGTGGGCAGGCAGGACTATGTCTTGGTAGCGTTTCATCCGAGTGTTTCGCAAGCTGTTAGGAATAAGCTGAATTATACAATGGTGCCGATGGCGATGACGCTCGTACTATCGCTGACCGGGTCATCGGCCGTACCCATCAGCCGCTCCAATA